TAGTGAGATAAGCCAGAAAGAGAAAGAAAAATACCGGATGGTTTCACTCATAGCAGGAGTATAATGGACCAGGCAAGAATATAACAAAAATAATTAACAACCATATACCAGAGACATTTTGCGGGGGGTGGAGTGGGGAATGGGATCAAAAACAGGGGAGGAGTGGGGAGGGAAATGCACGGGATTATGATGATGGCACACGGTTGACTTGGTGATGGGAAACCCACAGGGATTACAATTGAGATGGAAAAAAAAATGTACAAAATGATGTAAAAATAAACTTTTGTAAAATAAAAAAAATAAAGGGACAGGTTTGCTAAGAGAGGCCTGAATGGTTGTAGGTGGGCAGCCTTGAGGAGAGTGGCCTCTGCTAAGGGAGGTCAGTGAAGAGAAGCCCTGGCAGGCAGAGGCTGCTGCCCTAAGGAGGGAAAGAAATGGAGGAAAGAAGTACCCATAGTCACAGGTGGGCAGAAAGACTGCTGCCCCTCTGAGGGGGCAGTGCTGGGCTTTATCATCTTTTAGTAGGGAAGGGCTCATCTTCATGTGTGGATGGCTTATTCCTTAATTCTCATATCATGCTTTCCATATCTACCTTTAGGTCAGTGCTCTTGACACTTCCTGTGACAGTTTGACACCTGTCTGGGTGTAGTGCTTCCTGATTTGGGCTTTGAGGCTTCCAGGTTTTGGTTTCCATGACTTGACTAATGATTTATGCTAATCCCTTCCACCCCACCTCCTTGTGTGAAAAGGTTCCTGACCTTGTAATGTCCCCTCCTGCCCTTCTATTCTTTATCCTCCATCAGTGACATGGCCAGTCTGCCAGACTGTGCCTGTCCCCTTGCTGTGTGACTGGCTCCCCCAGAGTGGAGCAGTCAGCACAACAAAGAGGAAGCCATAGAATGGCTTGGGCCTGGCATCGGAAGTCACAACCCACTGAACGTATTCCACTTCCTCCATGAGTCACAAAGTCTGCCACAAGGAGGGGAGAGTCAGAGAAACACAGAAGAATAAATAGGCTTATCTTAAAACCATCCCATGTGGAAATGACAGTGACTAGATCAGATAAGCAACTTGCTGTCACCCACCCAACATGGGGCAGACAGCACTTAGGAAGGGGGACTTAGCTTAGGGGTCACAGAGAGCTGGCTCACACTCCTCCCTGCTCAGCTAAGAGACTGAACATGGCCCGGCATGACTATGACAACTCTCTTCATTTAACTTGTAGGAAAATGATTTCTATATGCTAAGAAGCAGCATATAATCTGTTCACAGATTGATGTTTACCAGTGGGATTGAGTGATAAATTAGGTGATAAAGTCCTTGAGGACAGCTTCCTTATGGTTTCCAAAGTCAACAAAGTTGACACTGAAATGGAGATGCTTGTCCCTGGGGTGGTAAAATGTTGAAGGTATTTGCTTAATGATTTATCTTTGCTATGAAATAGTTATTAAAATTCAAATAAGCTTGTATATTTAAACCTGTTATTTTAAGCGACTAAAAGCTGCCTCTCTGATTACTCTTTCTGTATTCAGAGTTAAAGGTAATTCACTCAATAGCTGAACAAATACTTGCTGAGCACCGTTATATGCAGTCACTGTGCTAGATACCTTGACCCTTTGATCTAGCGAGGAAAGAAAGACAAAAACAAAAAACCAAGAAAGAGCAGTGGTCCCACTTCTGGGCATCTATGTGAGGAAAATGAAACCATTAACTCCCAAGAGTTAATGACTGAGGACTGGCTCAAGAGAGGGTAGTCTGGTCACAATGCAGCATTACACAGCCGTGCATTTTGCCATTTGCAGCAAAATAGAAGGAACTTGAGGGAAATGATGCAAAGAGAAATTAGTCAGAAAAATAAAGAAAAAAGTTGGATGTTTTCACCTGTACATGCAATGTAAGGACTAAAACTAGTGGACTTTGAAATGAAGTTACCAGAGGGGGAAAGGGTGAGGGCTGGGAGCAAGGGTGGTGAGGAAACAGGGCTGTAGAATGGTGCCAATGGAGGATGGTCACTGTGTGCCTGAACAAAAGGCCGCCCACCCAGATGGCTCCATCCTGCCCACAAGGGCCTGGAGTACATGGCAAGCAAGGGCCAGGATCCAACTCACTGCAGCCCCAAGTGGGGGAAAAGGAGCGTCCCTGGTTTCAATGGGTGTTTTGTTTTAGTGAAAAAATATAAACATGGCTATTTTGTAGCACATAAAAGAAACAGTACACAGTTTTCTGGAAATAAACTATAATTTCTTAAGTTTAAAAAGAAAAAAGGGATAAGGTAAAGCAAGAACTAAATCCATTATCACATCTTTCTTAAAACTTGCTCCTTTTTCTTCATTATCCTGAGATCTGCCTACTATTTATCTTCATCCTTTTAAGCACTGCCCAGAGCTGTGGTTTTCCTGTTGATGTCCGTACCAGTGTTTACCATGCTGCTGGCTGCTCTGAGTGTGGATCCTGGAGCACATGGGTGTCTAACTTGGAGTGCCTCTTCCTAGGAAGGAGATGGAGGGCCATGCTGCCTGCTGGTTTATCATTTCTGCCTTTTTGTTTCCTAGGAAACCAGCCAGTTCACACTGGCCTGCAGCAAGGGGTCTCCTTTCCCCAAGAGCCTCTGGACCTGCGACCCCAGCAGGCTAAACCTCAGGAGGCTGGAGCCCAACTGACATCATCTGGTGTCCCAATGGATGGGTTTGCAAACCTGCTGTGGCCACACTTGATCTCTGGCATCTGGGTTCTCCACCCTCCCAGTGGTGGACCCCACCTTCAAGGAGATTGACTGTTCCATAGGGAAAGTTCTCCCAGCTCTTGCTTCCCAGGGGGATGCACACAGGTACCCCAGGACTCAGTCACACAAGTGCACTTGCCAGCCTATGCCGGGAACCAAGTTAGGTCTCCACTCAGGGACTCTCGGCCAAGGGCCAAGGTGAGGTGCCACCACCACTGTGGGTGCAGGCTCGGTGGGTATCCACACCCCATGGCTCATCTCTAGCATCCTAGCATGTAACTAGGGAGCAGTAAGCTGCAAAGTCTGCAAATGCACGTGTCATCACCTGGTTTATGGACAAGGGGAGGGTGGCACAGAGTCCCACCAGGCCTGGGGTCTGGGGTTCTTGGGGTTCTAGTGACATTTACCTCTGTCCCACACCATGGGCCAAAGCAGGCTCAGGCCACCTACCAAACCCTGGAGTTACAGGAATGGCCATGCTGACCCCTGCTTGGCCGCCACTGCCCTCTGCTAACACGGGACTGGCCCTTCAGAGGCGAGCTGAGGCCTGTTCAGCGTTGACGGGCAGTCAACATTAGGGCTGAGGGGTCACAGGGAGGGGGGCCTGAGGAAGAAGAAGTGTGGGGTGGGGCCTGATGAACCTCGGTGTCAAGGGAACATACCAGGGTGAAGCGAAGAAGGTAAGGGGTGGGGGGCCTCTGATGGGGAAGGCCGGGGTCGTGGGAAGGGGGCGTGAGGATGGCTGAGGGTGCAGGGGACATCAAGAGGAAGGAAGGGGGTCACAGGAAAAGGTCGGGGTACGGGCTTGTGCGTTAACATACGCCTGCCAGGGTGGGCAAGCGCTCGAAAATCGCCAAGCCCCCGAGGGTGTCGGCGCGCCCGGGCCAGAAGGGTGCGGGGGTTTTGTCTGCGCAGTTGCCGCGTTTCCCGCCCAAGGGACCCTAGGCCTCGCCTCCTAGTCTCCCGGAGCTCAGTCGCAGCCCGGCGCGTCCCGTCGCTGTTGGCGCAAGCGCACGCGGGAGCCCGCCCTCCCGGCCGGCGC